CTTCTAGATCCTCGAGTAGCACAATTAATATAAAGTTTCCGTAAGGCGGTAATATTAAAGACTGTTCTTATTTATGCATGACCTTTGACTATTAAGTGGCCAAAAATTGTGCCTACAGTAATCAACTTATTCCACTATCCAGGTTGCATCACTTTTGATTGCAAAACACCCGGGTTTATTATACATGGATTTGCTAGCAAAATAGCAGCAATTGATGGACTTTGTGTTATACTAAGATTTACTGAATGTGTAAAGAAACAACGAAAAGTATATATCAATCAGAGTCATTATCTTGATCAATTTCCGATGGGATCTCCAAAGAAAGTAGCTACATGTGCAGACAACATGAAACTTCAGACTGCAGAAAATTTCACAATCCGTTATCAAACTTATCTCACAGAAGTGGTAAAGGACATATGTGACAACTGAATGGTACCTTTTGTAAATTTTTTGTCCAGGGGTGGGTATTTATTTTTTAATTGATATTTGAGGTTGGGTAATCAATTTTTTTTACTTTTTAATGGTTGGGTCAGCAAAATTTTTGCTACGAAAAACATTTCTCTTCGGTGCCACCCCCCGCCATAAATAATGACCGGTCCCTTATGTTAAACACCAGGAAGACAAAATATAACGTACAAAATTGTTTGAAATCGACAGTGGGTGTCAGTGCAAAGCTGACATACGACAATTCACAACTGCATGAATTTCCTTTTTTGTCGATCTGCACGAGTACCTGTTTGTTGAAGCCAAAATATTGCACAGCATATCCTATAAATTCTATCGCCATTTACCCTCCCCCCTTAAATGCAAAGGAATGACAGTAGAAAAGGTTTAGCAAAGTATTTTTTATTACATCTGGTATAAAGTGTCCTACGTTTTATCAGGATATACATAATTCATAAACTGTATATGCACACGAAGTCTCGCTTATTAATGAGTTTTACTGTAACAAACCTTTTCAAGTTTCCATGGATAGATAGGTTGTTTGCCTCCAGTATTGTTTGGTAAAACAGACTAAACTTCTAAAATATTGGTTACGGAATACGCCGATAAAGATTAAAGTTGATTTAAATATTGATAACTCACAGCGGCATTAATCCATTATACAAGTCTCAAGAAGCTGGATTGTTCTTCAATAAAGCCCTCAATGGACAATGCCAATGTCAATGAAAGGTCTAATATTATACATGTTGCAAATTACTGTATACACAAAATATGAAATAATTTATATAAAGTACAATACCAATGTCTGGTGCACATATAGTCGTAGGTATTCAAGTTGTACCGCACGCACGGAAACGCATGGAGGAGTCTTGGCGTTTGTGTGATATTAACAGATAGCTAACTACACTTCGACATTATCTTTCTTGATCGTTGAGTTTCAGCAATGTAAATGAAATGAATTTTATAGCCAGTCCATAACGGGTTTTCATCCTGTGCTTTTACAGTCAAAATAGCACTATTGTTTACACATGTTGGCGATGTTTGGGAAATCATTATCAAAGGATCCCGTTATAAAATAAATCTTTTGTTTTGAATATCGGACAGGATACACTTCAACTATAAAGAACCATATCGTTCGTTTAATACCGTTTGATCGATCAGTCTGTGTAGAAGATATGTATGTTTCTACGGCGATACGTGCTAAACTTCGCAAGCCAGGCGCGTGTGGAGTGTTTTCCTTGCAAGTGAAATATGATCCAGCTTCTCGCTTGAAATGTAACGCAACACTTATTGTTGATGACATTCAGCACAGCAGGAAGTCTTTGTCATGATCGGTACGAATCTAGAACGTTCCTTTCACAATCTCTTGTTGCAAATGACATTTTTATCACCCGAAATTATAACACATAAAGTTGCAATTTTCCAAACGCAACAAACACGCTCCCCTACCTCCCGACCCATAGTCAAATTATACGTTTACTCCCAGATTCTGGGTGTGACGTCATAAGCCCCGACCCATAGAGATTATAAATAACACTAGAGGAGGCATCGAGTTTAAAAATTGGGAACGCAGCTAATGGGGGGCAAATTCAAGTCCCGGATATAAAATCGTGCTCTCACTGGCTGATTTGAAACTCGTCACCAATGGGAACACGAATACACATCCGGGACTTGAATTTGCCCCCCAATAGTCGCGTTCCCTTTTTTTTACTGAATTAAGATTACAATGCCTCCTCTAGTGTTATTTATAATCTCTATGCCCCGACCAGGGTCTTTGCTTCCCAGACTAGTCCCAAGTCCTCTGTGCACGCTTTTGATTTCCGTGACGTCACCGAGCGAAACGCGCGCAAGAGGACTAGCACAAAACGTTTTCTAGCCTGCAAAGCAGGTGTTCGCGGGCTTGGTAAATCCCGTAAATGTTTTCCAATATGGCGGAATTCCAGAATATATAAAATTGTATAAACATGGAAGAATATGCAGAATATTTATAGGTAAACGTGAGTATTAAAGATATTATGGTTGTACAATGTAAATAATAAGGTATTATTATAACTTCTTTCAGGAATGACGTAAATTTAAAGTAAATTGTAACATTTTTTTGACTATATTTAGTAGCACCCTGATCATCATCTGTTGACTGAGTTCACTAAGTGCATCTCACCCGATAAAACTAACTGTTGAAAGGATTTGTAGATAAATATTTTGAGTGTAAAGTTTATACATTTATGAGTCCTGACCAAGGGCAGTTGTGAAAAATGCAACTACAGGCCCTCTGGCAGGAATCCAACCAGCTGCACCCTTACTTTTGTATATATACATGAACGTGTGGTTAGAGCTTGACATCTGGACTTTGTAGCTTAGTTAGTTAGAGCACTGGACCGGAACCGCAGAGACGCATGTTTGATTCCTGCTAGATGGCCTATAGATGCATTTAAATAGAGAGATCTATGCCCATATTCTAAAAGCTTACTCACACTCGATGAGTGGAGGTTCAATCTGAGCTTCTCTTGAGTGTCAATGCTGTTTTGGAATAGGGAAGGTAAGTAGTCACTGAGTACGAAGTGACACTAGCCCTCCAGCTGTTCAAAAATAACATTGACACTCAAGGCAAGCTCAGATTGAACCTCCACTCACTGAGTGTGAGTGAGCTTTTAGAATACGGGTGTTAAATGGTGCACTGCCAGGACAATTTGCCTCTTTTGTTCATAGATATGTGGATTCATTTGAGCATAAAAGGCAAATATTGCAGTAACAATATCCACAGCAATAAAGAGTACTTGTATTGAGTATTAATATTATTATGATTATATAGTGATTTGATGCAGGTTGATGGTAAAGTGTACAAAGTCATTTTTCTGGAAAAAGCAACCATCACTGAGTGCAATATAAAAATTAAGCAATATTCCAGTGACATGTATCACAAGAGATATCTGTTGAAGAGGGCTTGGATTGGTTTATTGGCCTTCTCACCTTCAAGTGATTTGCAACCTGTCATGGAGAAAGTTTTTGGATATTTTACATGCATATAAAAAAATAATAATTGTAATAGATGCTTTCTCTGAAAGAGTAACTAATAAAAGATGATGCTTTGGGGCATATTTCTGCTTAATGGAGCTGTAATAATATCATATTCAACAATTTAATAAATTAAAAATTCAATAATAATTTTAATAATAATAAGTTTTATAATAATTTTATTACAATAAATACATTTATTATTATGTATTAAATTAACAATATTAACCTCCAAATTTTATTCTATTCCTGTTCACATGTGCCTGCCTGAGTGTTCGTGTTGAAATTGTTGCTTCAGTTTTTACATACTAATAAGAATTAGATGCTGTACCTTGTGAATGTTCTAACGCAAACTAGTTCGAACAAGTAACATTTGAATATAAACTAGAATACCGGTGTTCCCGGAAGTCCAACAACAAGCCATTGTTGGGTGGTGATCAGGTGAATCTTGTTTGAAAATATTACAAACATGACACTATGCAGACTGCAGTTCGGCCAGTTCCTGACTTGATGAAATAAATGAACAGCAAAATTATGTACATCCATGTTGTCCAATATGTCTTTTGCCTGAACTTTGTCATTCACAAATACCACTTTCACCAAATTCTTCAAATATGACCTTGTTTAATTATATATTTTCTTGACAACTGTCCCTGTATATGCCTGTATGGCACCATTTAAATTTCCTAAACATCAAACAAAAAATTGTTGGCAAGTACATAACAGATCTATATTTTGATCTATAAATTCTTAACAACACATTGCTCAAAGCTCGCAAATATTCAAACGTTCTAGTTAACACAGGTGAATACATGCATTTCAATAGTGCATTGATAAAAATCATTACTATATTTACCATGTATTTAGTTAATATTCTACATTACAGCAGAGTTATCCCAGGATATCGATAAATAAATTCTCACCTTCTATATTAAAAATATTTCTCACCGATTTCTTGTTTTTTTGTTAGCATCAATTCCACTTTACTATATTGTCTTTTCAGTATATTAATTTATGTACCACTGCTTCTATTCAATATATATTAAAACCACAACATTTTAATCCAACTTGTCTCAATTTGATACAAATCTAAAACATTTTACTCGCTCATGAGAACGGCGCCATTTTCGCAAGCCACTGATCTCAATACAGCAAGTGGGGACACTTTGTCCCCACTTTTGGCTCACTTGAAACATTTTATTCTAGGCCTCTCAGGAGCCGTCACCTCATTAATATGCCGAAACGCGCAATAGGCGAACTAAGAGGCCTAGGGACTAGGCTGTTTGCTTCCCAAGAGCAAAGAGCCTGGGAACGAGGTTGTCGCTGTTCCCGAGTCACCCGAGTACGTTTTCGTTAATTGGTCTTTGTGGTTTGAGTGGTTTGATTGCCTTTAGCTTTGAGTTCGTTGACCTTGCATTTGTTTCAGTATTTTTAAATTCACATCTTCATAATGGTCAGATATTTGGAAACTAAGGTAAGGATATATTTAAAGCATGAAGCAGATACAGAATTTTATAAGGCAGACTTTATTTTAATATATACTGCCAATTTCGTGACTAGCTTTTATGATAGATCACATACTTAGATATATCAACATTTCGAGTGTTGAAAGTAAACCAAATGTTTTATTGCAGTGTTTCGACCAATGTTTAGTTTAAAATTTGTAATATAAGCGTTACAATACCGTTTAATACAGTTATACAAAGTAGTTGAGACTGTCATATTTACACAATATGGAATGAAAGCGTTGTTTTGGTATTAACCAGCTTAAATGTCTCCAGATCAAAGCCATAGAATGTCAAAGCGTCCCCAGTCAGTTTAATAGGTCAAATTCATTGGCTAATCCTCATTGGCTATAAATACAATTATTTGCATTGCTTAAACTTAGCAATAGAGAAAAATCTTGATCGAGCATTCCAAATTCTTTATTCAAAGGCTACGAAGCTAATAGATTCATAATCAAACAAACAACAAAATGCTTGATTTCATAGTCGGATTAATGCACCTATCAATGTTAACCCCGAGGGGGGGGGGGGGGGGCAAAGGGTGGGGATTTGATCAATCAGGTGGTCCCATGGGTCGGGATTTGGACTGACACTTTTTTTCTAAGTGGCCCGAGGGTGGGGATTTTTGACAGATTAACACTGATCTTAGACGATATACTGAAGAAACCTGAGCCAATTTTAGAACAAACTCTGACTCGTCCCCAGTTGCCCGCGTTGTAGCTGTCAACGCCTAACTCGCGAACAGGCATATTCTCCCGCACTAAAATGTAATGAGGGACTGTGGAAGAGTCAGGAACAAACTGAAGACTGGGCACTAGTTCATCGCGCATTGTTTTTATAAGAAATATGGAGATTTCTAGACAAGAAATAAACACTTATAAGCCATTTTATAATTATATTAATATCGATTTATACTTATATGTTAAAAGCACATTATGTACTACTTAAAACACGAGTAGGAGTGTGTTTTATCAGATATAAAACGCGAGGCGCACAACTTAAAATACGACTACAAAAGAATACTAATTATATAAGAATACTGACAATTATATAAGAATATTGTGTTTTATTAGCCTGTGTCCAGTCCACTACACCATGGTGTAGCGGACTGGAACACAGGCTAGAGTTTTATTATAAACTCACTTCATGTGACATGATATGGCTGACATGATTTGCCGCAAGGTATATAAATTATTAATGAGAACAGGTAGGCAATTTGTCTGAGTATGCGCGCAGAAAATCAATATGGCGACGTATATTAGGAGTGTTTCGTGGATTTATCTGGTTTTAAAGCTGATAAAACAACATTTTAATGAACGAAAACTTTGTAATATTTAGTGGAAATCATTAAGCTGTGCATTCCAAAGGTTTTAAATTAAAAATAAGTACTTTTGCTTTATTTTATTGCTTTTTACGCTTTGAAAACAGGCAAGCTCATATTTTTTGAAAAAATCTTATCTAATATTTTACCCATTATTTGTTTAATATGAACAAAAATAGATAGAACACTTGGCTATATAAGTTATAAAGGTATTGTTAGCTGATCTGAAAGATTTCAGTATTTCAGGTACACATTTTAACAAAGAATAAAATTAAAATATATGCATATCAAAAACAATGGTTTTTATTAGAACAACACAGAATAAGTTGTTATTTTCTATTTTTACAAAAAACAAGTTTGAAAACAGGATCTAGTCCTCCAGCTTGATGTCATATTCCATTTATTTGGATATTTGAATAAAGGAATGTGAAATAATAATTGAAACTTGACCAAAATTTGATACCAACATTGGAGTGAATAGATACTATCACCTAAAAATAAAAGAAAACAGAACTTAAATTTATCATATAATGCTATGAAAAAATCTTAGATATTACAAGCATATAGTGAACACAACTCTTTAACAAATTCACTAAAATAAGTTAAGTTATGCTACGATAAGAGGATGGCAATATATGACAACATCAAATGTTACCATCTTCAGTGTCCAAAAAAAGTGCCGCGCGCATTTTTCGTGGTCGCATAACTGCCATTGCCACAAACCCAGGTGAAAAAGCAATTAGAAAAACCTGGTTTTGGGTGATGAGCATAGTCAAATTCTTGACTTATTCAATTTTCTAAGTTTTTCCAGGTAAACAGATCCAACATTGAAATAAGCCCCATTCGGAACCTCGTAGGGTCCAAAATATTGTGTATGGACCAGATTTTTTTCAATTTTCTGTGATTTACATAACACTAGTTATAATTTAAGGCTCAACCAGTATTGTTCAAGACATATTTTCCTTCCAGAACACCTTTTCAAAATACTAACCCAAGCATGTCAAAAATAGTGTACATTTACAGGGGCAATTTCAACCCTTTGGCACATTTTTCCCATGAATGATTTTAATTCTAATATAAAGACTATAGATAAAACTTAGATTTGAAGCTAGTTTCAAGTGATGAGCATACCCTAAATTTTAAGCTATACCTCAAAGAAGATAGGTCATTTCAACATAAACATTGAAATATGAGTATACTTACAGCTCTGTCACACGTGTAGTTTGACATTAGCAGACCTTCCGAAACATTTTAATGAAAGTATAATTCACAAATTTCACAATTTCACTTACTTCTTATATATAGTCTATTCCAAAGATGATTTCGACGTACTTTAGCTTTTCAGAAACCGTTGGCCTTCCTCAGTGAGATTATCAACTGTTTCACAAACATATTTGATAGTAAACAGCTAAAATATTCTCTGAAAGTCTATATTTTTGCTCTTCGACGCGAAAATGGAAACTCAAGAAGAAATGAGCCGCTATTTTTGGTCAGCGTCGACAAATTGCCTACCTGTTATTAATGAGTATTTTAAGTTATTTTGAAACGTTCTTTATATTTGTTATACTTTTAAATTATACCGCCAAATGTATTTGTCACCTGACATGTAGAGTGCACCAGAAACCAAATACTTCAGGAATACAATTTCGTCCCGGGGGTGGGGAATTTTGCCCAGGAATTTTCTCCCGAGGGAATGCCATTTGACATTTGTTTTTGTAAAAATGTCAAATCCCCACCCCTTGCCGACCCCCCTTCCTGACCCCCCTTCCCTCAGGGTTAACATTGATAGGTGCATAACATGAACTATTTTCCAAAAGATATATTATTATTAAAACATGAAGTCATGAACCTACATGTAGACTTCTTGAGATTATTATCAGACTATTACTTTTGGTTGCACTTGAATATTTTATTTTGATTGATTGCATTATTGCAGTGCCAGCTGGTACATAGCCAGCCATGGGGGGCGAGGCCTAAAGTGCCAAATACATAAAAGTACTGTTCTAAAAGCGGGGGGACATTGTCCCCAGAAAATTTTTCAATTGTAAGGTTAGCAAAACGCTCCCACGGGCATATTTGGCATGGCCTTTTTGTGATCTTTATGCCACAGATTTTGGTATATTTTATGACATAGCAGCCCTCGAAAACCGTCAAAATGCCAACCTAAATCTAACCTAGGTCGGCACGTCTCAGAATTTTTGTAAATCTGTTTCCATGTCTTGGAGCACTAGTTATCACGTATTTGCGAATCATTGAAATCAGAATACAAAGCATGCTTTTTTCCGTGGAAACGCTAACTACAGTTAGTAACACACAGCTTTTCTTTTGGAGTCTTACTAAATTATATATAGAATACTCGTCAATTTTTAAACCTTACACCAAAGTGTCTTTACTTAATCGAACTACAAATCAAATTCTATAATCGCTGACTTTTCAACAGCTATCGGCACCAACAAATTTTTACTTATTAAGGTAAAACATTTGCCGACCTGGGAGGTTGATAGGTCGGCTTTTAGGTCAGCATTGCTGAATGCCGACCTCGTTTTCAAGGGCTGCCATAGATGAAATATTTATGAGATTAACAAAGCATGTACATAATAAACTAATAAATATAAAACGTCAAATTAATATATAAAGAAATTACAATATTGATCTTGTTTACAAAAGGTGGGGGGGGGGGCAGTCTTCCCCCTTGGCTATGTGCAGGCCTGTGCACCAGATTATTTTGGGACTTTAACAGGAGATCTGCTGCAGCAGGTTAATGTCAAAGATTGCTGCAGAAAAGGATTTTGCTGCAGAAAAGGAATAAAATTACTGCATTGAAGCTGACCAAAATAGAAATAAATAAATAACAGGCCTTGAATTTAGTGGCGGCCACTGGCCGTCGATGCCCTGCTTGTTGGCCGCTATGCCCTCAAAATATACTGAAATCCATGGCCAGTAGTGGCCTGCCCTCAACCCCAGACTACAGTACTTATAAGCTTTAGAATACCAAGTGTATGATTTGTAAAATTGGCAATAAATTTAAAATAGTATTTAAATGCACCTTTCTGTCAGTCTGTCTGTTGAATCATGTATTAAAATATCCGATTATTCCATAGTTGTGTTTGGCATTTTTTTAATATTGTTGCTGTTCTGTATATTTTTCTTGTCTCATGGAAACTCAAACGTTATTTGAAACTTCAAAATAGCAATTGAATAAAATTTTCAAACTGGCCTTGAATCTTGATGCCCTGTGTACTGGCCTTGATGCCCTGAAAAACTTAGTAACATTCAAGGTACATTCAAGGTACATTCAAGGACAAACTGGCCTTACCTTTATTTTTCTCAAATTCGAGGCCTGAAATAATGTATTTTTTTGTTACAATACATTTAACTGTTTGCCTGTTGTGGACATATACAGTATGGCTAAATTGTGAGTAGATAGTGTTTATAAGTGGTCAGCAATATTGCAGTAGCTAGGGTAAAGCCATAAATCACGTCTGTTGTAAGTTCCCAGTGCAGCACCACCAGTTTCCAGCTTTGCAGTTGCGGCTAATATCAATGTAAATATGTAGCTTAAGTTTTTGGTTTACGAAACACAAACAGTGCTCAATACCATATAGATAGAGCATAATATAGATAGAGCATAATATAGACCACCTGATGATTCCTATACGGATGAAACAGACTGTTGTGGTTTTTTGAGGTAAAATGAAAAACAATGTAAATATGTATATAGTTTCAAATACGTCACAATGATTCATTGTAATTGAATAGCATGATCAAATTAGGATAAGATCTTCATTGTTGTTAGGACTTGTGGTGAGATGATGGTAATCTAAAACTCACGCTGCAAATATAATATTTTAAATCAAATAAAATTGATAGAATACAGTCCCTTTGAATGTTGATTTGTCTGAAAACCAGTGTGGCATTGGTATGAGTCTCAGAAAGTTCTGCAAAAACTTGTGCAGATTCCTATGGCTGCCAAAGTGTACTTTCCAGTTTCCACTATGGATTTTGGTGCACAGACTTGTCCACAATTTTCCACTGGTCCACAATTCAATTACTTCTGGTGCACATATTATAATGGCTGATTGGGTTGTAGGGTTGTTTCCCAGAGGCGTAGCCAGGGCTGGGGCCGGGGGGCCTGGCCCCCCTGGCAAAATTTTTGCCCCCTCCTGATAAAATGTATTGTATAAAAAAGGGAATCCTTGATTATATAGCTTCATGCTGTCAATAAAGAAAAATTTTTGCAGAATATATGCTTTGCTGCGCATCAGTATTCACTTATTTGCGGCACACAGCTTGAAACACATACCTTTTCTAACCCTAATTATTTCAATATGTATTAAATGAGGGTTAGATGAAGTTTAGACCAATCTGTTTTTTTACCAGTGAATTTTTAACGCGGGCTCGGTGAAAAATCACATGTGTCGACAATCAATTTTACCCAGCACTGCACAGAATGCCTTGCGCGAACTTTTCGTTTTACTTGTTTTTGTTTATTTCATTGTTATATTTAGTCAGTTCAAATTATTATATTGAATAAGGATAAAAGTATATAACAAATATAAAATAAAACATTAACATACATATACATTTAATTATATATATTCAAAGTGGAAGATATTATATTTGTATATTTACAGTAAAGAAGGTGATAATATATTTTAAACTATTCTACATCAATTATTGAGCTAATCGACATAATCGTAATTTACTAATTTAACGACTAAATTAAGATTTAAAACTAGATAATTTTATTTTACCATTTTCGAAAGTTCAAATATCGTAAAATATTAAGCCAAAATATTCCATTTTTGTAGTTTCTCGCCTGATCCCAATTATAAAAGTTGTAGGCATTGCAATCTAACTAAATGAATAACTAACAACTAATATAAGTAATTAACAACTTTGACGTGCTTTATCCCACTTGCACAACCTTGTTTTTAGCGGATTTCTCACATGCTTAAATTTGGATTTAAGATCAGCACATTGTACTATAACTTTACAAGTGCCCCCAAAACGCTGGAAATGCCCTTTTAAGGCGGTTTTCCACTAGGCGAAATTTTTCGACCGAATCGAAATTTTCTTTTGTCTTACAAACACTCAGATGGAACTAAACCAAAAGCTTTTGAATTTGAACAATAGAAATTTCGGTTCGATCGAAAAATTTCGCCTAGTGGAAAACCGCCTTTAGTGTACCAGAAATAAAAAAAAATTCGGGTAGCATACCACCGGACCTTCCTAATTTGGAGTACTAGTCCGTCCCGCCCCCCCCCCCCCATTTTTTGGTATGGATTGACGCCATTGGCGTCTTGAGTCGCTGGCGGCTTGGCCCCACCTGAGTTTTTGCTGGCCCCCATGGCCCAAAAATCCTGGCTACGCCTCTGTTGTTTCCACTAAGCTACATACTAATGAGTCGTCGCTTTGTTAATTATGTCTTCAACCAATCAGAGGGGAAGTGCAAATAAATATTTCAATCAAAGCATCATGATCACTTGATCATGAAATTTCATCCTTAATTAAAAATTACACAGGCATTGCCAAAGATCTATATTAATAATAGCTATAAGTAATACTGATATTTTTGCCTATAATATTTTAGGCAGACTTTGACAAGTTCCTTGAGGAAAATAAAGATAAATTAGTTGTCATAGATTTCACAGCAGCTTGGTGTGGACCGTGCCAAACAATTGCTCCATTTTTTGAGGTGAGATGTGCAGTGTTGAAGTTTCAATATTGGTCAAGGGTATCAATCCTGCAATTTGCAGACTGCAAAGAAGATGGGATACATCCTTCCACTTTATGGAGCCCTCTCCTAAATTGATATTCTATTGTGCTGTAATTATAATTACAATTTCCATCAATTGGCGAGCTTCATGATTATGCCCAACACTTCCTCCTATTTCAGTCAATATTCAAAAAATGTATTAATTTTGCAACATAATTGGTGTAATGTTACAACATGCATGGGTGGGAAAAAATAATGGAACATTGGTCCAAGAATATGTTTTAGGCCGACTCAGTAAAAATAATTTTTCAAAATCGAAAGAAAAATCTTTCAAAAAGAATTCAATGTAATGTTGAATGGTCGTAAGAACCATTACTGGTACCAAAATTGATAGACTGAAATGTTACACACCATTGCCACAAATACCATACCCTGGTTGCCACAAGAACCTCTGGAACTATGCAGGGTACTAATACCACTGTATAAATTAAATCATGCAGTATTGCTGAAGCTAGACCAACTTTGCAATATAGGCCATGGGGTAGCATTTTATTACTGCCTATAATACTATGACTCACAATTTTATGTTTACTACATGTGTTTGATATTATGTCTAGTCACTAACTGGCAAATATACCAATGCTGCATTTGCTAAAGTGGATGTTGATGCAAATGAGGTTTGTGATTTTGTTTTATGACTTTTTTTCAAAACTTTCTGAAGAAAGCTGCGTCGTCAGTGTCTAAAGCTAGACAGAACTAGGAAACTGTCTCAACTGGTGATCGGAAAAATGGCACCGGAAAAAATGACTGGGGCGGAAAAAATGGCAACAAAAAGGATTGCGTGTCATGAGATACATATTACTCTCGATTTCAATTTGCTTTTTGAAATATGACTTCGAATGTTTATTTTAACTTCAAATGTTTATTTTAACTTCGGAATGTTCGTTCTGAATAAACAAACATTCGAAGTCACTTCAAAAGCAAATTGAAATCGAGAGTAAATATTGAAAATAATTCACTCAAAGTAGAATTGAAATTTTTTATGGCTTATTAGTTTTGTGTTTAATAACTATTAATTATATTTATTACAATCACACTGAAAAGTTTACTTAGTTTTAGAATATGCCCTACAATAAATTACGTATTAATTCGTCCCGAAAGCGTCATGATATGTTCATCATTAAATTGAGCGTCTTCATTTCAAGTGAAGAAAGGACGAAATTCACAGGAAACATGCATAGACTTTGACATGAAAATGTATATTAAATAGAGACTCCAATAAAAAAATTATTCTGACGGGCCGGTGACGGCCGAGAATTTAAGTTTTCTTGCATTAAACTCCTATATTCCTATGGTGCCATTTTTTCCGCCCCTGTAATTTTTTCCGGTGCCAGTTTTTCCTAAATTCGTCTCAACTTGATTACTTGTAATATATTTGTATATGGCCAGGTTGGATGTGTCCCCCTCGTTTACCTAGACCCCTTTGTGGCATAGCATTTTGTGCTGTTTACTATCCACCCGGCCTACCCCAGGACGACCATCACGATCACTAAAGGAATATCTATCTTCCACCATTGATTTGCTGTGCAACCGATACCCTAACTGCGGGTATCATCTTTCTTGGGGATTTTAACGACCTAGAAATATCTATCCTGTCAACAAGACATAATTTAAAGCAAGTTGTCAAAGCCCCCACTAGAGGTTCCTCAATCCTTGACCTCATCATTACCTACTTGTCGAAGTATTATCAAACCCCGCAACTCCTACCCCCACTTGGATCATCCGACCATAATATCGTACTATGGACCCCCTCTTCAAATAATCCCAGCCATTGTTCTGAACCTAAATCCATCAAGTATACGATGCGTCGGTTTCCTCGATCTATAGTATAGATGCCTTTGGAAGGTGGCCTACAAAGCGTAAATGGTTCGAGGAAGAAGCTCGTAACGCCACGGTGGACGACCAAGCATCTTCCTTCACATCACAACTGGCCCAGGCAATCGATCGTATTTTCCCTCCTAGAACAGTGAAACGACTTATCACTGACAAACCTTGGATAACGTCAGCAATCAAGAACCTTATAAAAGAACGCCAGAAAGCCTTCCACAGCAACAATACCCCCCTTTTCCGATCACTGAAAAATAAAATCCAACTTGAAATAGCGGAAAAGAAGAAGTCATTTTACAGAAATAAAGTCAACCATTTAAAGTCTAGCGACACCCGCAAATGGTGCAAAATGGTAAATAAAATGTCAGGATAACCACAGAAAATGATATCTTTCTCCCTGGAGCGCGATGGTATAACTTTGAACGATGAAAGTCGCATCCGCGCTCAACGAATTTTATGTGTCCGTAAATTCAGATATCCCACCCCTCGACAAAGACTCCCTGCTGGCGTTCCTACCTTCAAGAAACGACATCCCTATTATTCAACCCTATGAAGTTTGTAACAAACTTAGTGCGCTTTAAACCCACAAAGCAACAGGTCCCGACAAAATTCCAAGCCGAATTCTGAAAGAGTTTGCTTTTATTCTAGCAAAACCAATCGCCATCATTTTTAGCAAATCACTCTCTTCTAGTGTCGTACCAAGAATTTGGAAAGAAGCTAATGTCATCTCAATCCCAAAGATCAATCAACCAGAGAGCGCGAAAGCCTCACTAGGCCTATATCCCTTACCCCAGGCCTATCTAAAGTCTTAGAAGACTTCCTGGTCAGATGGATGCTGGATGACCTAAATGGAAAGATTGACCCCTGCCAATTCGGATATCTAAAAGGACTATCGACTACTTACTGTCTCCTTAACATGTTACATACTTGGTTATCTCACCTCGATTCACAGAATAAACACATTCGCATCTGCTTCTTGGACTTTTCGAAAGCCTTTGACTGAATCGGCTATAATATCCTAATTGACAAATTGATTGATTGGCATGTTAGAAGATCCCTTATCCCTAACCAACCGAAGACAACGAGTAAAGATCGGTAGATCAATTTCTAATTGGCTCCCAGTGACAGCTGGGGTCCTCCAAGGGACAAAATTGGGCCCTCTTTTATTCCTTGTCATGGTCAATGATTTGAAGATAAGCTCACCTGATACAAAAAATGTGGAAGTTTGTAGATGACAGCACGGTGTCCGAACACCTTACTGGGAATATATCGTCAGTAACTCAACCAACCCGTAACCTCATCGAATCATGGTGTTCCAACAATTGGATGATTCTTAACCCAATAAAATGCAAGGAACGTAGAATATGTTACCTTAAGAAACTCGTCGAATTCCAACCCTTAACAATTGCAGGACGCGAACTAGAAATAGTTCAATCCCACAAAGCATTAGGCCTAACCATTCAAAATAATCTGAAATGGGACGAACACATTCGATCCATAATCGCGAAAGGTTCCAAACGCTTGCACATTCTCAGAATTTTGCGACGGAGCGGTATTCTACCAGCTGACCTTTTTGTAAATAGTTAGAATTACTCGATAAAAGGTTTAAAACTTCTTTAATTCTCACTTAAACTTCGACATCAAGTAGATTTGTGTTTCTTGTTAACATTATGCAATCCCAGGAAAAGCATGCGTTCTTCCAGGAAAAACCCACGTATCTCGCGCGATTCTCACGCGTCCATAATTAGACTAATATTACGTAATTCTCTACGGAGTTGTCAAACACATCCAAATATATAACTAAACAATTTCAACATTAAATAGTATCAAATAGTTAGTGGTTAATGTTTAAATGTCAACATTGTCCTCTTGCACAAGTTCCTTAATCCGTAACTCAGCTGCCGCGGCTGCATCTCTCTTGGGCTTCGCACGAAACTCTGGAGCTTCAGGATTCAGTTCCACTAATTTGGTTTGTTCTACCACCGAATCACAAGACAGTTCGACAGGATATAAAAACTGTACCGCACGTTCCATGATTCTGTACCGCACGTTCCATGATTCGATTCTTTAATTCGGACTGAATAATAACAACTTCTCCGACCGAGGGTATTCCTCGTCCTCCTTTCTTCTTCGCGATGTATCTTTCTCGAAGGCTTCGAAGATATTCCGTTGACCATCGTCTCCAAACAGCGTCCTTACATTTCTGGAGATATTTATATCTCTCCCCGCAAGTCTTTGTTTTCGATTAGATGATGGGAAGGTTCCAAGAGTTGGTTTGCTCGCAAAAACAACAAAGAATTAGGAGTTATCACGGTTGACTGAACATCTTCCTCTTCGACATATCCCAGGGGTCGATCGTTCAGTGTAGTTTCCATACTCAGCAAGACGGCTTCGAGCTCTTTCCAACTTAAAGTGACCATGGCCGATCACCTTGTAGAGCGCTGCCTTCACTAAACCAACTAATCTTTCAAATTGTCCGCCCCACCATGGGGCACGGCTCAAGTTGAACTGCCATGATATGCCATTTCTGGCTAGGTAATCCTGCAACCCTTCGTCTTGCTTCAGCATTTTTACCCACTTCGCCGCCGCTACAAACATCGCCCCGTTGTCCGAATAAATACGCTCAGGACGACCGCATCTTGCGATGAATCTTTGGAGCAATTGGAGGCTGTTTAGACACTCGGACGTCTCCATGTTAGGCAGAAGTTCGAGGTATACTCCACGAGTAAGACTACAAGCGTATAACAAGATGTACGCCTTGCCTTCTTTTCCTTTCGACTTTCGATAACGTAGTGGGCCCGCGTAATCAATTCCGATAACTTGGTATGCAGTGGATCCTTCGGTTTTGGTGGTTGGTAAATTCGCTGGAGGGGGCGTTGCGTAAGCAATGGCGTGGAATCTCTTGCATCCATGGCAATCTTTAATAACCCGCTTCACTAATCGTCGCAAACGAGGGATCCAATGTCTTTCTCGAACGTTCACCATTGTCAATCCGACTTCGCTATGAAGTGTGGACTTGTGTGCATGTTCGACGAATTTTCTTGCCAGCAATGATGAATTAGGAATGTAGACCGGGTAAAACCCCTGAACTCTTCCTCTGCACTCTAAAACACCGTCCTCATTTAATTGTAAATTAAGTTGCAATTGATCTCTCGTAAAGGTTTCGTCAACTTGTTGTTGAGCTTTCGTGATCAAACGTATTTCAGCTTTCTCTAAATCACCGGTTGTAAGTGGGCCTTCGATTCTTCTTTCTTTCGCACACCGAATGTTTCCAAGGAACCGTAATAACCAGGCCGTAATCCTCAAGGTCTTCCAATAAGCAAACTTAGCGAGCAAGTTCCCTAGCTCGTCCTCTTCTTCCTTGGCCAAGGCAAACAATTGCTTCGTTAGCTTCACTTCAACATCGGTCTCTGTAGTGCGAGTCGTCCTTTGATCTGGTGGCCATTCGTCAGGTTTACTTAGCCAGTCAGGACCTTTCCACCACAAATGATCTCCCTCTTTAATTAACCCACCACGGCTCGCGACATCAGCGGGATTTTCTTTGCTAGGTACATGTCTCCATGTCACTCCTTCATGCTCACGAATTTTGTTGACACGGTTAGCTACGAAAGTTTTGTACTCTCCTTCGCCATGGATCCAGTGTAGTGCGACACTGCTATCTAACCAACCAACAAGGGATGTTACTGGAAACCCTTCCAAGGCACTGTGTACGTTGTCAAGTAAATTCACCGCCATATGCGCCGAGACCAATTCTTTCCTGGGGATTGTAAGCCCTTGCTTCGCGAGTCTTGCTTTCGCACAAACGAGACCT